AGACTCGAAAGGGCGAGAAACCCTCATTTTAAAAATTTATGAAAAAGAGCATTTGAAGATATATTTCCTTTGGAACTTAACTTTCAATACACGCCAAGGATATTAAAATTCTCCACGTTTTTTAAAACAATGGATTTACACGTGACAAATGTTTTCTTTCAATTCAACGACTCAATTGTTAGCAAAGAAACTACCACCGAGATTACCTTAGAAATGCTTCATCAAGCATAAATCATTTCAATGTGTGAAAACACATTTCAACAGTCCATTTACGCACAATACAAACAACGTAGTCTATTGCAAGGTTGACCAGAACCGATTTTCAACCAGTGTCTGACGGGCCTTCTCAAAGGCAGAGAGGCGGGTCAATTTCAGAAGTTCTTTTATCGATTAGCAGCTACTCAAAGGTTTCGAGTCCAAATGATTTCTGATTACTAATACTATAATGCTTAATTGTTAATTCTGTAGTAACTTTGATGACGGCTTCTATTCGGGCAACAGACGCCAGATTAAAAGGAAAACTTTTGCCACGCATATAAAACTAGTATTAAAAGTGGAGAATTTCAATTTATAGAAATGTGTAATATACCTGAAAGCTTGGCTGCATATAATTTGAAGGCCTTTGCGCATTTCCAACTGGCAGCTAAATGCCTATGTGCTAATTGCAATACAAGCGAATTGATTGGTATGCGGTTTCAAGAGCAAAATTGAGGCATAAGGTACAACTTACGTTTTGAAACATCGAGACACATCAGCATACCTAAAATTGCCTACTTGCATGTGGAAGTGGATGCTGTTGAAATCGCACGTATCTCCTTCACTAAGATGTAACTGCTTTTTAGATTGATCAACAACCGTTTGAAGCAACGCTGAGTCATCTGCACAAATTTTGTTACTCAGTCATATTAATGTCTCAGTGACTTCATATGTTTCAGTTCATCTTTGCAGCTCTTGACTGACACAGCACGAGCGCGACAAGTACACCGAAGCAGTGCTATCTTCATCTTCGCTGATCTGAGATAACCAAATCTTAGAATCCATGCTACAGATTCTCCATTTTGAAACGTGGCTGTGGGAAGCAACATTGATTCGAAGGAAAGGGACAAAAAAGCATGAACCACATGAATCATGCTTGCAAATGTACCGAGCTATCTTAGCCGAGTTTTACAATAACTCGATTTGCTTATGTTAAAATAATGTAATATATAGCGACTGTTACCCTTTCCCTCCCCCTTTCCCATTCCCTCTTCGTCTAGAAGTCAAACGGAAACAGAGAATGATCGAAATGCAATCAATGCTGTTTAAGGTCTACGATGAGATGGTGAAAGGAGAGGATTTGCCATACAGAATTTTGATTGCATCGAGCAGAACATGTATGGCTGCAATGAATTAGCGAGTGAAGATCTGTCATAATATCAGAGACCCAGGAAGATGAGTAGAATATCAGAGGGTGATTTTTTGATTTTGATTTTTCTCGTTTAAGTTATTTAATAGTGCAAATGAGTGATCAAGGGGAAAAACGATTTATTATAGCTAACAGCTTCCAACTTCCAACGCTTTCATATATTCTCTATCTCCAAAACGAGGTATTTGTTCGAAAGACAGCCATATGTCTAGACAGATAGCGTAACGTAACGAGAGCATCTTATGATAGTTCAGGAACATTTTCTAAGACGCAAAAATTGCTATTTGATGCCGTTTTCAACCATCTGTTGATCAATGAAAAACGGCGAATATTTGAGTCCAGTTTTTGGCTCAGAATTTTCTTTACCACTACTGGACCAATGCAGAAAAGATTAACATAACCCCTTTACAAGGACAACTTGCAAATTCGAAGAGAGTTCCAAAAGTGCTTTAGGTGCGTAATGGAGCAGGCCTACGATGTCGCTACGAATTCCTATGGTGCCTGGTGCGAATCCGCTCAGAGGACTGTCTGGGTCTTAACCACTCATTCCCTTTGGCAAGGAATCAAACACACGTTGCCTCTGCGCAGCCAGCTGAGAAACGAGTGGTAAATCGATGACTTGCGAATAATGAGGATGGCATGAGATTCTGGTCTGGACATGCCAAGATGGACGAGGTGCACGGCCCTGCTGTCCGATGCGAGCGCCCCTAGTGAATGAACTCGCCTTGATCCTCCTGATGCCCGATTACCTGGTGTAATAAACAGTACAAGTTGCATATCATTGGATCTCTTCTTTCTTAACTCTCAAAAAAGGAAACGGATGCTCCGTCAACATTCATCCTTCGTTTTGCTTCTTCTCTGCTGCATAATCGTTTCAGTTTTTTTTTTGGTTTATCATTTCCCCTTGGCTGATGGTTGCGGGAAACTGTACTGAAGAGTACATACGATGAAATGTGTAAAGAACAACCCTTTCTTTATGTAGCACAGCCAAAAACTGTTAAATGTGCAAATATCTTAATATGCGGTTAAAGAGGTTGTGTTATGGTCGAGAACACATTCTGATTGCACTGATGAGAGGCAGAATTCAACGACAGCGTTAAAGGAAACAGTGACAAAACTGCTATACAGCAAAAAATGAGAAATCGCGGCAATTAAACACGTGTTTCACCAAATCACCAAAGATTGTCCCATTATTCTTCATTCTTTAAACGGACACAGGTTGATTCTTTAAAGTGATGCAACGTTTGGTAGTTATTCAGACCATGACGGGCCAAAGCTTTGTGATCAGAGCAGATTTTTGCTGTCAAAATATTTGTGGACATATTACATCACGCTGAGATCGTTCTGCGGTAGCTTCTGAGAGCGCAAACTCAAAAACCGTTGAATTACAGGATTTAGTCTCTGCCTTCTACGATGTCGAGAGAAGAGTTTGATCCGCTTAAGAAACAACCGACAACGTCAAAAATTACACACTGGGTTCAGCTGGATCACAAACGCCCACTCGGTCTTCCAAGAATACGCTGAGACCATCGGATGATGAACCTAACTGGCAAACGATTGAGGCAGAAAACGGGGAACAGAGAATACTGGAGGACTTGTGTTCATCGCGTACCCGTGACGAAGAAACGTCAGATTACGGATAACAGATTATGCCAAGTAGGTGTTATTCATCTAAGAATGGACGAAAACAGAATTTTAATTGCAGTCTGAATTTTGTTTACTTTGAACAGGATTTTTTTAATCTTTACTGTATCGATGAAACTTATGTCAAATTTTTTGGATATAATTTTTTTCGCGCCGTTAATAGCACGTTGGCCGGTTGTCCTCTCTTCATAAGCCCCTGCAGTCGACTTCTCCTCACCCACTGAATCGGTTTGTACACCAAGAATCCGTAGATAGAACTAATAAGTGAGAAAGCAGCCGGTGCCTCAGGAACAAACTTTCATTCAGGAAATGCATGTAAAATGAAGCTAGCAATGAGGTAGTGAACTTTGACGCATTTTTCGAAATCGTTCAATTTTCGTGCACCTGATTTGACACTTCAAAATTACGGAATGAACCACTGAAGAAGCTATGTTTTATAAACATATTATTACCTTGTAAAGCGGACGGCTCCCAGGTCGCATCGATTTTAGTGCGCTATTCAACTAGGATTTGATTCTCACTGAAAATTGCTCTCATACTTTTTACATCTCAGCCGTCATACAATGCTTCAAGGAGTTTTGAATTACCTTGCCACGAAGATTATGACATTTTGCATAAATTCTGGAAAAACTTAAGGATCGCTTATGCAAGTGAAATATGCCGAAGTGCATACCAATGATGGCAGCCAAAGCACTATGCTGAATCCTGAAGCGATGGCTTACTAGGGAAAATTAAAATTTAATCTCTTCGTGCCTTTACTTCAGCAAAGTACTGTTGCAAAGAGACGGTCTGACTAAACGCTTGAACTAAAGAATTAGGTGACTATACGTACTTTCCTCTTAAAAGATGAATGATGGTCATTATGCAGATTATCCGCTGAGGGATGGGCAACAGTTGAACTTGCACAACTGGTCAGAGCTGCTCATTAATCTGATAAGTTCACCAGGTAGGTCAGTCAGTACACCACCGAGTACTTGCTAGTAAGTGGTTCATAACGTGTTTAGAATTTCTTTGTTCTAATGTAAGATCGAGAACTAAGGATAAAGAGTATAAATAATCGGTCCCTTCGACGCAATTATACTTAAAAGGCAGGACCATGAAAGGAATGACTCCATTATTTTCCGGCACAGATGATCTCAGCAGATGTGAAGGTTAAGTAAAGGAAGTTAGTCCTGTTATACAAGTGGTTCGTTATACGAAGTATATGTCATTCTCTCCGGACTGCAAGCTTCTCCTATGTTAGCCAAAATACGGCAGCATGCAACATGGAGAGACGATATGGAAGTAGATATCCTTTCAAAGAAAATCATTTCCGTCTTCGATACCGTAACCGGCTCTTTGTAGCAAAATTATCAAATTATCAAATATCCACAGATATCACAAGCCAGCGACGTTCTGGCTTATGACCTCAACCAGCACACGGATGCCTAAGTTAGAACTTTGCATGCTTCCTCGTCAGCAGCAGCAGTTCGGCGTGTCTGTGCTTGTGATTGATTCTTCTACCGTAGATGGCGAAAGATCAAATCATAGGGCGTGACGCATGTAGCGTCATTGAGCCACACATAACTAAGAAATGACAACAAATTAGTGAAGAAGTCATACTGACAAATATCGATTAATGATGGCGGCGTAGTCGCCCCCGATAACTTGTCTCGATGGCATCAGAAAGTATACGAACATCGTCCATAATTCATGCTGCAGTCGGTATTCCAGAATTTTTATATAATCTGATCCGAATGTAAGGATGCATAACGTTGGATATATTGTAAAAACAATCAAGAAATATAATATGACATGGGAAATACAGTAGGTGTGAAGTGATACCTTAAAATATTGGTATATGTACCTGAATCACTAACTGTTGTGTTTATTTCTACGTAAGTTGCTACGTACAAACCTCACCGTCACACAGACCCAAACGAAAGGCCCATATGAGATACGGAGACGAACGATGGTAATACTCAGTCTCGCAGAGTGACTACTGTACCGCGTAGCAACGTACGATCAACATTCTTGACCATCTGGCACAACGCACATCGAGCAATTGTGAGAAATTTTGTCTGGTTTGGCATTTATCGAATGTTTAGCCGACGATAGTCAGTCAGAAAATGATGTCACTTACAGTATGCATGTGCTATATGCGAATTAGCGGCAATTGTCGAAATCCCGTCGTCACTGAATCACCCTAGCCGTTACGGTTGCATGACGATCACTTTTCCTCGCATGCTGACAGTTGAGTGATTAAAGGGAAGAGATCTAATGTGATAACCAGCAGTTATCGAAGGGCAGGCCGTCGTACGACGTTCCCTCATAATAGTGAGTGATTAGGTGAGGTCAGCCCTCGAGCATCCCATTCGATCGCAGTCACACAGTCGCACTGCTAAGTGCTTCATCACTTCACACCTTTCTCGACGAACAACGTACCATTTGCTGCTGGTCCCTGCGCAAGTAACCTCCGGCCTGCCTCTGACTAGGCGGTGGTGGTGGAGGAGGAGGCGGGGGTTGGGGAACATTTGCAGCAACAGCAGCCGAAGTGCTACAAAAGAAACACGTTACTACGGGGCTTTAACAGCGGCATGCAACGCAGTGCAGCAGCAGCAGCGGCAAAAACTATGGCACACACACACGAGGAGAAGGGACTCGAAGACGACTCACCTGGTTTGTTCGACCATTTAATATCCGGCGTCCAGGTGGAGGTCAGCAAGAACGAAGAAGAGAAGCAGAGCAGCACCCGCGCCGTCTAACGAAACTGGCGATTAACGGCTATCTTTCACTCTCTCACCTGGCCAACCTGAAGAGATGCGTAGTCCGTGTGTGCGCAATCAGCCGCGCAGACCGTCGTCTCTCTCCGCTCCTCGCTCCTCGCTCCTCTCTCCTCTCTCCTTGTGCCGTCTGCTTCTATTTCTAGTATAACGAACTACGCGGGCCGTGCTGCACTACGTTGACGTGTCGTTTGGAACTGCTGCGATGCGCCGCCGCCGTGCAACATCTCAAAACATGTGTTGCTTTAAGTTTCATCAACGAACCAGGGCCTTGACACTAGCATCGATCGATCTTCGTAAGTCACCTCTTCGCCCTCGTCGGTGAACGGCTGAACTCTTGCACGAAGCTGACTTCAAAGCAGGAACTCAGCATTGAGTCCTTACCTCGCGAGAATATGATCGTTGCTGATTGGTTCTTGATGAGTTGTGCACTCTCAAGATACAGGCGCTTGGAAAGACAAAGCATTATCACCGTCTTTCGATCTGCTGCACA